CATCTTGCTGCCCTCTTGTGTAGCCAACTTGGTCAAAGCTCAGCGCAATCACGCACCATAATGCATTTTATCGTGGCTGCCATACCCATAAGTTCCAGTCTGAGGCAGTAGCCTCCAGATTAAATCTTCGCCTTGCGTAAAAGAAGCCCACCAACAAGGTTTTCTCTTGTTACTTACTCTAGTGCTGGCCTTCGCTCTGTCCCTCTTCTCCCTGACATGTTTCTACATCTCCAGTATCTCCTCTTGCTTCTTACATTCCCACTTCTAACACCTTCCTTTCGCAGCCAATTTTTTCCCCCAATGCAAATCCAGTCACACCAGTCTCTACCTCCCTGGTACCTACCCCTCCTCCTACCCATCGCATCAGACGATCTAAACGTCCCCCCCAACGCCCCATCCAACCGCTTTCCCTTCTGCTCTCTGGATACTTTCCCTCTTGACATGTCTGAAACTGGTTTTTGATCTAATTGTCCTTATCTCCCTTACTCATCTTTTTCTTTTGACAACCTTTCCTTTCTCACAGGTACACATGTTTTCCATTTGATCGAATCTCTCTGCTAATCTCTACCTTAACCCATTTACTATCCCTTCTGTACCCTCACCCTTTACCATATTTGAATACCTTGCTCTCCTCGAATGTAGCAGATTTAATCATCAACTCATTCCCCTCTTTACTCATTTTGCTAGTACACCTTCCTATGGTGCTATACAACCTTTAATGTCTATCACATTTATTTTTCTTTGTAACTAGGAACTATTTCACGGGATGACAATCCAGAATTATACATCCTAGCCGAAAACTATTCATATCATATACTAGTTATTCCTCAGCTTGATATTAAATTATAGAATAACAGGGCGAAACGTAATCCTGGTGTGTGTATATATATAGAATGTCTTACAGTAACCTGCGGTTACTTACATACCTTACTAATCCTGGCCCACTGACATGACAGGAAAACCGCCAGAACTCGACATGGCCGTGCTCGCGTCGTGCAACCACAGCATCATCACCCTGGGCAGCTTCAGCTTCTGGACCGGCTTCCTGACGGGAGGAGAGGTAGTTTATCCAGACGTCCGATTTCGGCGCCCCTACAGGTATTCGGAAACCCTTCCGGGAACACTGTGCACCCTGGGCTTCACTCTTTCTCACAAGAAATGCTTGCGTGCACAGACCACTCTCTGTCGTATTTCTGATGGGTTTACACTGATCTTCCACCTCTTTCTCGTAGACCTTCAGATATGCATTGACCCTCTCACTCTCTCCTATAAGACTTACATGCGTAAAATGACCTCTTCATGTCAACTTCTGTGGTAGTCAACATACATCTGTAACGAGAGACACAAGCAAGCTTTGGTTTGGTTTGGTTTGCTTTGTCTTTGCAGATTCATGGATAGCTTGCTAACCATGTAAATAAACTAGTGTAATTATGACAGCTTGCTTACCTTTATTATGGGTGACACAATTATTCACGGAAGACATTGGACGCTCATAGTAGTAAAATTACCGACAAAGAAGGCTTTCCTTATTTTGGTTTTCCATTTACTGAAGATGAGCAAATGAAGAATGTTAAAAAATACAAATTCTGTAGTGCAAGCATCAATAACTAAAAACAAAAATCATCCGCACACTTTAAAGCACCAATTTAAAAGGATAATCTCCACTCTTCATAGTTGAGATAGGTCTTTCAAACTGGGATAAGGGATATTACAAATGTAAATAAAAACGCACTTTGAACATCTGTGTGATGGCCATGATATAAACATTATAAGTAACTCGCTCTTATCTTGTGAATAATAAAGCTACTAATATACTCTGGTTGGCACAGATATGGTAAGAACGCTAATTTTTAACATGATCTATTAGCGATGAAATCAGTAATCAAGAGAATTTAATCGTAATCACTCATTTCTGTCGGGCATGCTGGCGATTTGTTTACTATTGTGACGTCATACAACTGTGGCAAGGTTCTTCTGAAATTAGTTTGAAAATGCTTGTTTGGTTCTGCTCCTCATATACTCCAGGCTTACCATGGTCATTAATGGTTTTGCACCCTTATTAATGGCACTGAAGCTTGCCTCTTCATTAGCTAGCCCCACAGACTTTTCCGGTTCCCCGACCCCTGGCTCTCCTTTGATCACAGTTCTGAACCTATTGATCCTACTTCCCCCTCCACAATACGGGCTGTCAGCCCAGTCCATTCCAAGTCACGAACCCAGATCATTACCCAACCTTCAGAAAAAAAATTTCCTTTCTTCCAGCAGCCTCCACTGCGTCATTTTAACACTTATCACTGCTCTTCATTCTTATTGTCCAGTTCTTAGTACTACTGCACTCAATACTCCCTCTTCCTCCCGCCCTCATCCTTCAACTACTTCCTGTTCTACTAATTTGCCGAGAAATCTTTTTACCCATCTAAGTGGGATCAACTTTTCGTGATACCCCCCTACAGCCCCTTACTCTTGCAATACCCTCCTTTTTGCTACAATGCCTCCAAAG